TTCTATTATAAGTAGTACGATGAAATAATCAGGAGTCAGAATTCTCTTAAATGGGTTTATGATCAGTATTACTTTATTCTAGTAGGATTTACCTTTCATTTTCTGTTTACATTGTTCTTTCTATTGTATAGATATTTAATAGATTGCTATATGTGATTTCATTTTTAAATATTTTATTTATTTTAATTGATATGATGCCTATGTATTATAAACAAATTTGAAAAGGTAACAACTATAGAGTAAATTGTTAATGTAAATAGTTGGTGCTCATTGCATTTACAGTTTATTATCTGAAAGCAGTTGATAGATTTTACATCTTTATATAAAGCACTGCCATATTTGTATTTTAAAAGGAATTTGGGAATTTTATGTATAGCTCAGATTGATGGCATTCTTTCTGTTTTGTGTTAGTATTTGTTACTTAGTTTTTGATCTTCTGAGCTGTCTTTTAACTTCTAGCAAATCTTTTTAGTCATCTTTTTCCTACTCTTAGCTCCACATGAAATAAATAAATGTTCTTGGTAAGCCTGTAGGACTGGATGAATGGGGTTGTGAAACTAATTTGGCAAGAGGATAGTTTAATGACAGCTAAATGAATATAGAAAAGCCCCAGAAATATTTAAAATAGTGACATGAATAGTAGGACAAAAATATTACTGAAATTATAATGCTCCCTTGAATCATTAGTAATTAAGTACAAAAGTAAGAAGAATGATCTTATAAAGGATCATGAGAAATGCCCAAAGCTGATACTTTAGCAATTTGGAATGCTTTTAAATCTATTCTAAAATACTTAATAACTAATGTCATTTACCCACTGAGACTGTATTATCAGATTCTAGTTAAAATAACAGATGTAACTTATGCCTCAGATGGGAGGTTGCAAATGTAGCCACTCTTACACATAGTTGGCATCATTTTGTACTGCCTAAAAACGAGTTCTACTCTATTGACAGTTGATGATAGAGTATTTATTACCCACGGTGCTTGTTATTGTTCTTGCGCTTCCATTGAAGTGATTCCTTTTTGTTCATAGCAGCATAATCATTTCCAAAGACCCCCTGAATTTGCTGCTGTATTTTGTAAACTCCCCTGATGTACATGAATAGGAGGATTTCCTCACATAATTTTCCTTAAGTCTGGACATCATAGCGTTAACAAATGTGCATTGTTTTATAGGTTGTGATTTTAAAATTTAAACTGAAAACTACCTGGGATCATAGTGTTTCTGTGATTTTATTGAATTATGTATAGTGATTGTCCAGTGCCAGAAAATCCATGACTTGCAAAATACTTTGCACTCAAAACGTTTTTAGTACCTTTCAAATTTGATAGTGGTTTCTGCTTTCTTTTGACTACTTGACTTATAAAATGATTTGTTATGACTACTCCATTGAAAAGCAAAGGTAACTCAAGTTTAAGAAATTAACTGCTTGTTTTATATGGTTATATTATTCCACTATTTTTGAAAAAATAACAATCGTGGATAGCATTCATTGCCAGAGAGTGAAAAATATAATTTCTACATATATTGAATTCTTAAATGTTGCCTTAAATAGGTGGAAATGAGCAGTTAGTAATTGCTATGTACTGATTTACCTCAAGGTGCAAAATAATTCAACTTGTACATATTCCATTTACGAAATAAGTTCACAGACACAGCTCTGCACTTTCTTAGATGCCTTGGTTTCCAGGATGGAGCTTAGTGCTACTGAATACCCTGGCTCCAGAGCCACCTCAGGATATTCTTCTCTCCACCCTATTTTATTTATTTATAGACACTGCTTACAAAGACTATAATGAATCCTGATGCTGACCATCTGAAATTTACTTATTTTGAATGCTACTTCGTTCTAAAATAGCAGCTTTTGAAAAAACAGTGAACTAACTTCCTTATGATAAAAGGATGATTCTGTATATTCTCTAATAATATTAGGTATGCCGAGTGAAGCACACAGTCTTTCTAATGGGTGTTTGTGTGTGCGTGCGTGTGTGTGTGTGTGTGTGTGTGTGTGTGTGATTTATCAAATCTCAAATCTCTCAAGTTGTTTAACAAAGCTGTGGCGTATCAACGTTCACATTTGCCAAGTCTTATGTAAAACATGTAGGACAGAATTTTTTTAATGTCCTAATGTGTGTATTTATAAAGCAGATTTCTTTACCACTCAAGATTCATTTTTTTTCATCCAAAACATTTCTTTTTTCTTCACGTACTCAAAATTTATTGTATGTATATAATAGCTTTCTTTTTCCTTTTACAAAGACAGGTTCAAAATTCTGTACAAAGAGAAAATGGTTTCTGAAACTGAGGTACGACATCAGAGCTTGCTGTCTTGTCGGGATTATATCATGTACATCAGTTCTGTGAATGTGCTCAAGTATTTTACATATGAGTCCTGTTTTAAAGTGCTCAGATTTCAGATATGTCAGCCATTGATACAACATTTTAATTAAAACAATGTTTAATGTTTTAAATTTATTTATATAGATCGCATTGTTGTCATATGCAGTACAAATATGTGAAATGTCTTTTGGTTTAGTCCGACAATTATTTATTTTTTAGAAAGTAAACTTAAAGACTTTAAGGACATTCAAAATTTAAAATAGTGCTCAGAATTAAAAATTTGACAATTTAATGTAAAGTTAATTTTTTTTTAACTTTTCAAAAAATAATATAAGTATCAATAGGAAAACATATATTTGGAAATGGAATCATCTAAAGATCACTTTAAAAATTTAATTTATCAGCACATATTGACTTCTATAGTTGACTTAGAATAATTGTTAAATCCCAGTTTTTTAAATCAGATTTTTGTGCATTGATTGATTTTTGCGTTTTGGCTTTTCTTTTGTTGCTTTAATATTGAAAGTTTTTGTTTTGTTTTGATTTTTTCTGTAGAGGGGGTTATCTTCCAATGTTTACTATATTTAAATAAGTAGAAATTGAATTTTATTGTTCATTTATGTAATATTTGATAGCTTGGTATAATTTCACAGTACAGTTCTAATTTTTATGACTTTTATAATTACAATGATTTTTTTTGTAATAAAATCCAAAGTAAATTAAACATTTAAAACGTAGAACTGATATTTTTCATTTATATGAAGTACAAGTCTCTTCCAAGTCTAATGTGAATGACCCTGCCTTTTAAATTTGTTTTATAATTGTTAGAAGAAAACTATTTTTTGGAGATGTTATTGAAGTTGAAAGAGCAATAAAAGTCTACTGAATTAGTTGTTTGGATAGTCTTTATTTTGTACTTTGATATTTAGGAGAGTTGCATATCATGCTCATGAGGAGGGATAGGAGATAAAGAAATGGAAGTGATTTCTATTTCTTACCTCCTGATACATGCTTCAGTAAGAGAGAAAAGAGAACACTGATAGAAGATGAAACAAAGTAGTGTGTATTCATAATTACTTTTTTTGACAATTGAAAAATTAAAACCCCGTAAGATAGGCTCATTTATTATTTTTCCTATTTTAAGACATCTGTTTAGGGTAGAATTTGCAATGTGATGAGCACACATCACATTACATGATATGTAATGACCATGTTACTATTGGGTGCTCATTGTGTGCCACACAGAATTCAAAACCCTCATTTCGTTTGCACTTCACATCAACATCTGGTAGTCATTAATTTTCCTACCAGTTGAGTTGTAAAATGAAGACATAAGAAATTTCCCAAGTTGCCCAACATAGAAAAGCCCGCCCTCATTCCCCCACCCCAGGCCTTCACCACACTATTGTCCATGGGTTATGCCTATTTGCATACAAGTTCCTTGGTTGATCTCTTCCCACCCACTCACACACACTGCCTTCCCTCTGAGATTCCATAGCCTGTTCCATGCTTCTATGTCTCTGGATCTATCTTGTTCATTAGCTTTCACATGTGAATGAGATCATGTGATACTTGTCTTTCTCTGACTGGCTTATTTCACTTAGCGTAATACTCTCCAGGTCACTCCATGCTCTCTCCAAAGGTAAGAGATCCTTTTTTACTGCCATATAGTATTCCATGGTGTAAATGTACCACAGCCTTTTTATCCACTCATCTACTGATGGTTCCTTGGGCTGTTTCCAGAACTTAGCTATTGTAAATTGTGCTGCTATGAACATAGGAGTGCATATATTCTTTCTGATTGGTGTTTTGGGCTTCTTGGGATATATTCCTAGAAGTGGGATCACTGGGTCAAATGGCAGTTCCATATTTAAAATGTTTGAGAAAACTCCATACTGTTTTCCATAATGGCCGCACCAGTATGCGTTGCCACCAGCAGTGCCGAGGGTTCCCTTTTCTCCACAAGCTCCACAGCACCAGCTACAGCAATTCTTAAAACACCCTAAGATGAAGCTTTAAAAAAAAATTATATATACATACAGTGTGTGTGTGTGTGTGTGTGTGTGTGTGTGTGTGTGTATTATTGATTTTTTACAAACAGGAAGAGAGAGGGATAGAGAGTTAGAAACATCGATGAGAGGGAATCCTCTATCAGCTGCCTCCTGCACCACCCCTACTGGGGATGTGCCCGCAACCAAGGCACCTGGCCTTGACCAGAATTGAACCAGGGACCTTTCAGTCCGCAGGCTGAAGCTCTATCCACTGAGCCAAACCGGTCTCGGCAGATGAAGCTCTTTCACACCCATTGCATTTCAAAAGCTAAAGGCTGGGACCACCAAGTCTAGAAAAATCCACCGTGTTGAGGAAGCCCTATGTACCCAGGTGAGCAGCTCTAGAGCGGAGTCAAGCGGCTGCAGCACCACCAGCTCTCTCTGCCCCAGCTTGCAGACCTGGGGCAGGATCCTGCGCGTTCTTTGGTCGCTACGGCAACGCCGAGGCAGCGTCACCTGTGGCTCCGGAGCTGGGCGCGCGACAGCACTGCTGCTCCTGATTGGCTGCGGCGCCCGGGCGAGGCAGAAGAAGGGGTGTTGGCATTGGCCCACCCGGCGCCGGTTGGTGGCCTAGAGGAAGATTTGATTGAAAAAAATCTCAACGGTGCAGCTGGTATAGGTGCCCCGGAGTTGCAGGGGCCGGAGTGGGCTGGGGGAGGGCGGACGGGCCCTCCTGTCCGGAGCAGCGGGGGCCGCCGCAGAGAGGATGAGAAGGACCCGTTAGGGACTGGCCTGAAGGAGGGACCTCCCTCCAGCGCGGTGAGTCCCCCTCCCCGGGCCCGCGCGCGGTTTGAGCAGGGTCTCCAGGGAGGTGCCCACTGGTCCCTGCGGAGCATCCCGAAGCCCCGGGAGTCGGCCTGAGGCAGGGGCTGCCAGTGGCTAGGGGAGTCCCTGAGCGCCGTTCTCATAGCCGATGGGTTGGTGATGGGCGGGTGGATAGTGGGGAAGTGCCATCGACGGTGTTTGTTCCATGCAATAATTATATTCTGGTTACACGGAGCCTGAGCGAGTCTCTTCCAGTCTGCCCCCACGTCCCTGGAGACTCGGGCACAAAACCCTTGTGGCGCGTGCTTTTTATGCGGTCCCCTGATGGGATGCTGCTGGGACTGGCCCTCGGCGCTTCTGCTCCACGTGGATGGGCCTGTGCACCTTCCTGCCTCAGGCCCAGATGTCTGCTAAGGACCGGAAAGCTTCCAGCCTCACTGAGTGCAGCCCCCCGAATCCAGCTACCTGAACTCCACACATGTGCTCCCCTAAACCCCATTCCCCCCGCCCGCCTTCCCCCACTCCCACCACACTGCCTCACCATTGGGTTCCCTGCCTTGGCATCACCTATTCAGTTACCAAAACCACCTTCTGGGCAACATCTTGGACACTACCACCTCTTTTGCATTTCCAGCAATTGGCAGGGCTATACCTTCTTACTGGCTGCCTAGTCAATTCCCACAGCACCATCTACATTCTCCCTATATTGCATTTTCCACCAATTCCTTGGTTAAATTCAACACCCATCCAATTCCCCTGATTCCAGTCTGGCCCTATCAAATCCATTGTCATCCCTGTCAGACTGATCCTTCTAAAGAAACATATACGGGCATTTCCCTGCCTGCAAAAATCCAAATCCAGTTAGGTCTTCTATTGGCAGCTCCATATTGTTCCCAAAACATGCCACATGCTCTCCCGTGTGTCGTAATTTCACCTGTAGCTCACACTGCCTGCAGAGGAGTCCACTTTTTGTGCCATCACCAGCCTTGTTCTCACTTCCAGTCATGATCTGTGTGTTGCTATTACTTCTCTGCTTCCTCCTCTGGACTTGCTCTGTGAGGGCAGAGGCCATGTTTGTTTTACTCACACGTTTTGTTGCATCCAGCACAGTACCTTGTACACAGCGGGGCTTCAAGAAATACTTGTTAAATGAATGGATCTCAAAAATGAGAAATGATTGTTTTCCATGGCATCCTTATTAGTTTCAGAAAAGTCAGAAATAACTTGTGGCTAAGGAATCTTCTGCTTCTATGAGCTGAATGTCGAACTTACAGGTTTTGCTCAGATTTTGAGATTTTTAGTAGTTGGATATTATTTTCATTCACAGTCTGTATTTCATGTCATAATCATGATAATGTTAGCTGTTATTAAATGGCATGAGTGAAAAAGGGAAAACAAAGGGGCTATATGTTAGACACTCCTTTAAAAGTTTGCCTTCATTTCCCTCTGACTAAGAGCTACCCAAGTTGGTCTGAGAATGCTGCTCCAACATCAAATATAATAGAATATGCAGCAAAAAAAAAAAAAAATACCATTACAATTTTCTTATGTTCAAGTTTTATTCCCATACAAACTCATATGTTTTTGTGAGAAAGGGAAATACTTGAAGATGTCAATGTGATTTCTATAAATCACAGTTTGCAAGAGAGAAGCTTTAGAGTCAGACATACCTGGGTTTGAATCCTGGCTCCGACAATTGAGCTCTGTGGCCCACAGCAAATTAGCCTCTAATCAGCTTCTTTACCTCTACTGTGGGCTAATATTAACACCTCCTCACAAGATTGTTATGAAGACTAAATGTGCATAATCCATATCAAGTGCACCATGCCTTATACTTATTTTATCTTCACACATTTACAAAACGGAAACATTTACATAGATGTTGGTAATAGCTTTATTCACAATCACCAATACCTGCAAACAAGTAACATGTCCTTCGGTGGGTGAATGAATAAATAAACTGACACATCCAGACAATAGAATATTATTCAGTAAAAAAAAAAAAAAAAAAAAAAAAAGAAAGAAAGAAAGAAAAGAAATATGACACTGTGAAAAGACACGAAGAAACCTCAAGTGCATATAACTGAAAGAAGCCAATCTGAAAAGGCTGTGTACTGTATTATTTCATCAATATGCCCTTCTGGAAAAGACAAAACAATGGAGACAGTAAAAAGATTAGTAGTTTCCAGGAGGTGGGGGACTAGGGTAGGGGGAAAATGAATAGGCAGAGAACGAAAGATTTTTTAGGGCAGCAACAATACCTTATCTATAATAATAAAAGCCCAATATGCTAATTAGACTGGACGTCCTTCTGGATGAAGCTGGGGCTGCAGCTGTGTGCTCGTGGCTGTGAGAGAGGGACCCAGGCCACCGCCCGTGGCTGCAGAGGCCTACTCTTGCACAAATTTCATGCATCGAGCCTCTAGTGATATTATAATGAATCCACTATACATTTGTGCAAACTCATAGAATGTACAACACCAAGAGCTACTTAACTTTTCAGTGCCTGGGTTCCTTCATCTGTGAAGTGGTAGATACACTATCTACCTCATAGAATTGTCTCAAGGATTAAAGAAATATGTCGAAGTGCTTCTAAAAGTGAATCCTAAATAATATTAGCTATAAAAATTAAAATGAAGACTGACATTGAAAATAAAACTTTTTTTTTCATTTTATATCTAGTATTTGTCACCAATGGATGTCAGTGAATATAGTCAAATGACTTAAAATAAGCATGATAAGCTCTTCAAGTTGAATAGTAATATCGCCAATGATAATATTTACAACAGCTATCATAATAGTAACTTACATTTCTATAGCCATCCCCCATTTTAAAGGGGCTTCCCTTTGCCAAAACTGGTTTGGCTCCATGGATAGAGCGTCAGCCTGCGGACTGAAAGGTCCCGGGTTCGATTCTGGTCAAGGGCATGTACCTTGGTTGCGGGCACATCCCCAGTAAGGGGTGTGCAAGAGGCAGCTAATCAATGATTCTTTCTGATTGATGTTTCTAACTCTCTATCCCTCTCTCTTCCTCGCTGCAAAAAAATCAATAAAATATATATTTTTAAAAATAAAGGGGCTTCCCTTGATTTAGTTCTAAGCACCACCTTATAAAGGAGATATTGTTAATTCTGTTTTTGGTAAATGAGGAAACTAATAATCAAGGAGATCCAGGGACTTTCTGAGGTCACTCGGCAGGCAAGTGGAAACCAGGTGTCCGCTGCTTTTGGCCTCATCCCCCCGGTGTCACCAGAAGAATTCACATTCCCAAACCTTTAACCTCTCATCAGTGGAGATCACGGCATTCATTTACAGTGCAGGTATATGTTGCACTTGATGTAAATATGCACATCCTTCTTTCCTTTAGGAAATGTTATTGTCCCTTTTATGTATACTTGAGCTAGTCCATATTTAACATGAATTTTGTAAATAGGGTATAGAGAGATTTTTGTCTAACCAACATTCTGTAATAACTTGATATTGGTCAACTGGGGCAAACTTATTTCTTGATAGTTTTTTTTTCATTATCTTTTCCCCCGCTGTCTACACAATGATACTCCAGTTATACTTGGAGCTTCTAAATCATATTTCATGGGATTCGTTCATTCAATAATTCATTCAGCAATCATTTATGGAATTTTTTGTTTGTTCTAACTAGTTGTGCTATCCTGGATGCTGAGGATGATGAGCAAGTTTACTGTCATTTCTAGTTTACATTAGGCTAAGGAGACAGACATGCATATTTATTCAATTATTGCCTGAATCTTCCCTTTATTAAGAGCTGCAAGGCAGTGCTGGGTGGGGCTATGACTGTATCAAGGAGGTCAGTGAAAATTTCCTTTAAAAAATGGATACTTGAGTTGAGACATGATGGATGAGCCTTCCAGGCCTTTCTGTACCAATCTGACCCTTGTATCCAGGAGTAGAGTCCTGAGGCATCAAGGAGAAGCAGATCTGGGACAAGGATTCAAGGCCTGGGATGAGTGGAGCTGGCTAGGGAGTCAGAGGCATTATCTTATGAAGCACCTCATAGGCCTTGATCACTTTTGTTTCTATCCTAAGAGACATGGAAGCTCACGGAGGGTTAATTGGTCAAATTTGTATCACACAAGGGGTGCTTTTGTTGCTGTGTGGAGAGTGGATTTTTTGTTTTGGGGAGGAAGGAGAAGTTGGAAGTGAAGGGACCATTTAAGAAGTGATTACTGTAGTTCAGGTGGTGATGTAGATTAGGGCGTTGGCAGTGAGCATGGAGAGACGTGAACAGACCCTAGCCATGCTGAGTAAGACAAGAGTCAGGATTTAGGGATCAAATGAGCAAGGGGGTGAGGAGATAGGCGATGTCATTTTTCTGAGGTTGTTGCCAAAGAGCTGTGCTGTGTTTGACTGTTTTGTCCCATAAGTTGGCTGTAGCCTTGTAGTGATGAAACATGAATGATCAATGTTTTCCTCTCATCATTGATGTTTCTATCTATCTCTCCCCTTCGCTTCCTCTCTGAAATCAATAAACATATATTAACATAAATAAATAAATGAGAGAAAAGGTGATATGAAGGAAGAATTTCTATTAGCCAGTTAATGAACATAACTAAAGCAGCATACCAAATTTCTTGTAGTCTCCTTCATGTACCCGCTATTCACTTCTTTCCAGATTTCTCAGCTCCAGTTCAATTCATCTACTCACCATATCCCTAAACCACTCCCAGGATCTAGCCTCCAAATCTTGGTTTCACTCCCTTGAAGTATTCATCACCCACCCTACCTATTCTTATGGACCTCCTTCAGGTCACCAGGGTTCATGAGCCTTTCCATAGCTCTTCAGCCCACAGTGATCTTTCTTTCCCCTGAATTCATTCAGTTTGTAATCTCCTATGGATATTCATTTCCTCTGCTCTCTGACAGTTGTAGTGTTTTAATAGAATCCTTTGGTTTTGGCTGAACTGTAAAAATAAAGACACATTTTTCATATTAACTGCATATTTACCATTTCCCACACA